ATTTTTTACTTTTAACATCATAAAACAGTTGTAATATTGTTGCATAAAAGTGTTTTCTATACTATATTATAGTATTGTATATTTTTAATATATTCTTATAGTATTGCAGGTTTTGTTGTACATTAATCCGACAAAGGGTTAACAGTGCTGTTCGACGAAATTTTATACAATATGGTTGACAAAAAGATGTACAAATGAGATATTGCTTCTTGGCCCTTTATTAACACGCTCTGCAAATAAAAAGAGGATTATTCATTATTTAGATACACATAATAGAATGTTTTCAAATTATAAAGTTATCCAACCTCTAATCGTATACAAATCTAATTTGGAATAATTTGAAAATCAATTTTACTTCACTCTCTCTCTCTCTCTCTCTTACGTGGATTATTACTCCATAATTCTGGTTGGCCTGGATGCCGCGAGATGAAATTTTTCATTGAGAGGAGAAAATGTGGTAATTATTTACATTAAGGGACACCTCACCGATGACCTTGACCTTGACATATGTTGTCAAGGTCATGATTCTGAGTAACTTTGCCTTAACAACTAGACGGCGGACTCTTATCATTTTTGAGATATTAAGCGTTGAAGTTATTTTTAACAATAGTGAAACCGGTAAATCTTTAGATCAGGGGACTCCACAATTACCTTGACCTTGACATATGTTCTCAAGGTTACGACCCTGAGTAACCTCTAACAGGTTTTAGCCGTCGCTCGTCCTTCGTTAAAAAGTTATTAACAATCATAGTTTTAAAATTAACATATGATATATGTATAATACATGTATGATATTAAGTACTATTCTACACCTTTCCCTGTTTAGAAACGTTAAACTTTCCACGCGAAGTAACTTTAACCCCCCCCTCCTCTCTTCACAGGGGCAATCGACTTCTACGATTGTACTGTTGCTATGATAGTACTGTCGGGGCAGACCTCTGTCGACGGTATGGGTGCGGGGGGGGTGGCCGAAGGCTACCTCCTTGCACCCGCCCGTGTGCGTGCGTGCGTGCGTGCGTGCGTGCGTGCATGTGTGTGTGTGTGTGTGTGTGAAATATCAAGTAATAGACTCGTAATCGTTATATAACGAATGCTTAGTTATATAACGGAAGTTATATAACGAAACACACACACACACACACACACACACACACACACACACACACACACACACACACACGGGCGGGTGCAAGGAGGTGGCCTTCGGCCACCCCCCCGCACCCATACCGTCACAGAGGTCTGCCCCGAGAGTACTATCATAGCAACAGTATAATCGTAGAAGTCGTGTGCCCCTTCGCAGGGGGTTGGGGGAGGTGAGAATTACTTCGCGTGGAAAGTTTAACGTTTCTAAACGGAAGGAGATGTAAAATAGTACTTGTTATAATACATATATGGCAGAAATTATACGTTAATTTTGAAACTTTTTTTGTTAATAACTTTTTAACGGACAGCGACCGCCACCTAAAACATGCGGGAGGTCACTCAAGGTCATGACCTTGACAACATATGTCAAGGTTAAGCTCATCGGAGCTGGGTCCTCTAAAGTGAACATTTGTCTTGTATTATACAAAATTATACTTTTAAATCTAAATATCTCAGAAACTATAAGAGACCGCCGCCTAGTTGTTAAGGCAAAGTTACTCAGAATCATGACCTTGACAACATATGTCAAGGTCAAGGTCATCGGTGAGGTGTCCCCTAATGTAAATAATTACCGAAAATGTTTTTTCTCCTAAGCTTGATGTCCCGTCAATTCCTTCAATTATTTTTCAATTTTTCAACAATTTTTGGCGGCTTGTAGTTTTTACCTAAGACCAACGAAAATCCACCAAAACAATTAGTTTAAATTAATTATATGGCAAATGGCAAATATTAATTGAAATAGTAATTTATCATTTTCAATAAGAATCTCTTTTATATAAAATTTATTGATACCTTCTCTCTATCATGCCGTGTTTTTGCATATTTCAGCCAAGACGAGGTAAAATTTTGCATTCCTTTGTCTGTCAACGTCGGAAAATGTTTTCGAGCAGCATCTGCATCAAACAAAAAAATTCATTGGTAATTAAAAATTAAGTTGATGTATACATCCTTTTATCTTGGAATATGTCGGAGTAGGAAACCTCACTTTTAATGATATTAATTATTAATAGTGAGTTTATTGCGAAATTTCCTTTCTGGCCTTTCCAGGAAAACTTCATTGCTAACTTGTTGGATATTATTTTTTGTAGACTGTGCTTTATTTGCTCTTGAGGTGAGTCTCCTCCCAACAAGTAAAAAAACGTTTCCTGAAACATGTAATTTTTATTGTTATAACTTAGGTAACTTTTTTTTTACATATATTAATTTAACATATACATATAAGAGAAAAGTTTAGAATTTTCATTAATACACAGTGATGTTCGTTGAAATATTTTTTATTAATTTAACATATACATATTCACATATAAGAGAAAAGTTTAGAATTTTCATTAATACACAGTGATGTTCGTTAAAATATTTAATCACGTTCAGAATATTTTTATTTGTATATCTCATAACTGTATAGATATTAATTTGTAGGAGTTACTTTTTCAATCTTTCATCTTTTTTAAATGAATATGCTGATAATAAAAATATATATGTAGCTATATTGAGTGAGTGAGTGAGTGAGAGAGAGATTACCAGTTGTCTTTTTTTTCTTCATTATTTTTCAATGAAGCGTTGTATTCTATTAATTTTATATATTTTCGGAATGGTTTTTTGGGAATAATAGTAACATTATTATTTGGATCGCCACCGACAGTGAGCAATCTTGACAGTTCATTGTTCGGTATTATTTTATTTTTCTATTGTGCAAGAAATTCATTTTGCTGCTGCAATAGTGTCTTAATATGGATAGTATTTTCCAATATTTTTATAATATTTTCGCTATCTGTAAAGTAAAAAACAATCAAGATTAAAAACTTCATACCATTTTCAAAATTATGATATGATCCGATCTGTGAAGTACTTTAAAATACCTGATGGGAGATCTTCGAATAGTACGTTTCGTGCCAAAAAATTATTTTGTATCAGAACTGGAGATGCATTCCCTGCGACTTCAAGCATTTCATCAATCATCATATTTCCTAAACAAATTAATTTTTATACACTAATCAAACAAATCTAGGGAACACTTTCAAACACGCTAATAATTGAGCAATATTCAGAACACCGTAACTCGGTGAGAAATCATCGCAGATAAAAAATTAAAAAAGCATTTTAAAGGTTGAAATCTCTACTTTCGCAATCTGAACAAAAGTTATCACTTTTGCTATAATGTTCAATAACTCGGTGGAAAAAATCGTACAACGATCAATAAAAAAGAAAATTAAAGGTAAAGATTCACTCTATTTCAACTACTGCAAACCGCATTTTTGTGTAATTTTTATCTCACGCCATAGACCTTTGTAAAGTTTGTGAAAAATTTTTAGATTTGACGGATATCCATTTGTGTCCGTATAACTCCGTAAAATATCAATCATATTAAAATTTCAATTATAGATTTCGAAAGTAGAGATTTCAACCTTTAAAATGTTTTTAAATTTTTTATTTGCGATAATTTTCACCGAGTTACAGTGTTCTGAATATTGTCAAATTTTTAGCGTGTTTGAAAGTGTTCCCTAGATTTTTTTGACTAGTGTATTTGCAAATGAAAAATTGTTTAGACTTTTCTGGACTTATAATTGTTTTGATGCTTGCAAAACACATGTACGATCGGAATAGATATATACGTTTGTGAATGTCAATAAATAAATTAACATTTACGTACCGGTCCTTGATTCATTGCTGCCTGAGGCCATGATATTGTCGCTTTTTGACTGGGCCATCCGATTTTCTTCATTAACAAAGAAGAGTTAACTTAGCATGTAGTTGATATTGCTCATTCTTTAGTTATCTAAATGGACTAACCTTGATAGTTATTGGAGGCCTGTAAAATATTATCTCTCTCAGCACTGATTTCCGCAGTATTTTCAACTGAGGTCTGAGCAACTTGGCTCGACCGATCTTCTAACTGATCTACAAAAAAGTTACTCATTAAACTGAAAATAAAGGAAAATATTTCTTTTTACAAATTTTTTGAACTACGCACGCACGCACGCACGCACGCACGCACGCACGCACGCACGCACGCACGCACGCACATTTATGATTTTGATATAATTTCAATTCTCCATGAAAGATAATTTATCACTTCATTCAATTTCATCAATAAGATTATTTTTTTTATTACCATACCAAATGTACTGGACACTGAAGGAGGTGGCGTCATTCTGCAATCATCACTGAATTCGCTTGCATATTCTTTTGGATCTTTTTTTTTACCCTTCGTTTCCCTCTGCCAGTTTCTACAGCTGATGTATCGGTATCCGTTTTTGTTTTTCTTCTTGCAAAATCTACAGCATACTGGTAATTGTCTGTCAAATGAAAAACAGGGAAAAACAGGGATGATGGGAAGTTGAGGGGCGGAGTGAAGGGGTCGAAATTGGTGGAGATGTGAAATACACATTTGTAGTATCCACAGCATACTGGTAATCGTCTGTCAACACTGGTTTCTGAGAAATAATGGGATGTCACTTTAGGAAACCTATGTTATCGGTGACTTTCCCCTACGTATATACTTCTAATAACTTAAACAATCATTACCAATTTTTAGTAAAATGTTTACTATGGTCCACGTTTCCCAAGAATCCGATGGGGGTATTCGCTTCTTTATCGCTTTACGACTGTTTTTTGGTGGCCATTTGCATGTTGTTATGTTTTCTAAAATTGTCACCCATGTTGAAGGCACAACTTCTACTGTTGTAGAATCTTCTAATTGCTGCTCAAATTCAACCACAAACCAGAGTAACTGAAATAATAAATGAAGATTTACAATTCAAATATCTAAAAATATTTAAAAAATGTAAATGAAAACCTAAGAATTACCTCATTGTTTATATATCAATTGCATTACTTTGATTTTATATTCTCTCTTAAATTAGATTTTTTAATACAAGTTACAATAAATAAGTTGTTATATGCTTTATTTGTTATGTGTATTACGCGGCAATGAATTTTCGAATTATTATTATTTTATTTGTATAAACTTTGTTTTAGTTTGTATGAATCATTGCCATTATCACGAAGTTATTTTTAAGTAGAAATTTTACACATTTTGCCTGAACTTCAGAAATACTAACGGTATATCTTGCTTCAGAAATACTTTGCGTCTGATATATATTCAATAGTTTAAAAGAACATGGTGAATTGAAAAAAGGCATTGGGTCTAAAAACTTTCTTGCTGTTATAAAAATGTGCAAAGTGCTAATATTTTGAAAAATACTGTCAATACATAAAATAGATTCGTCTCTGATCATTATACAGTTTTCGTTATCTGCTGTGCTAAGTGTAAATTTCTCAGTCTGTATTTTTTTGTAAAATGCGTAACGTTCTCCGTTAATGATTTTTATTTTAGTTTGCTGGTACAAAATTGGAAATTTTTCATTATTCTGCTCCTTGGTTTGTTCTTGTTCTCTCAGTCTATTGCAAATTTGTTGTAGGGGGCATCTTGTTGTTTGAATTTTTTGTTTTATTTGATACAGAAAGTTTTCATATTTAAAACACGTGAACATGTCCAGTGGGCCGTGCAATAAGCAATCCGCGGGTAAATGTACAAGGCCATGTACGTTGTGGTTAATAAACTCGGGGCCATAAAGAAAGGAATATTTCTGAATAAAATATTTTATAAGCTGTAGAGCGTAATTGTTGTACGTGAAATACAATGTATGGCTGCACAATATTCGAATAGCGCATGATAATGTCATAAAATGTGTGTACATATTTTTATTTCTCATATTTCGAAGAACAATTGGTCCGACATACAATAAAAATTGTCTCAGTTCTGTGGCTTTGAAATATTCAATATCTTCTAAACTTCTAGGTAATCGACTAAAATCTGCAGGTACCGAATTTTTAAGAAATAATATTTCTTCATTAATAACTTTTTTTCATCGTCAGAAAATCGAATGCCTTTTGGTCCTCACATCCAGAAAGTTATCAGTTTTTTCATTACTCCGAGGAAAACTAAATGCATACCGTCAAGGGGTACTTGCGAAACTAATCCCATGTTAATATTCTCAAATAAAGTTGTGCCCTTATAAAAATCTTCATCTGACTTATTTTTGAAACTTGTATCAGTTCTTAACTCGGCATTAATTTCTGGGAAAGTCAGTCTATTATTAATGAAAGTTTGAGTACATTTAGTGCAACTGTAAAATCCTGTGTGACCTTTCGTACATAGAATAAAGGATTTGGCCGGAGCATCACAAAGCAATTTGCTGATTCGTATTTTAACATTTTTATTGCAGATATTAAATCCATTATCTTTCAAATGTTTTAATTCGTTTATAAATTCTGTCAAAAATTGATTAGCATCACCTGGTTTTGAATGTCCGTGGTAGATTCCAGCTGCCAATGGTTTTCTTGTGCTTTGACTAAGTGAATCAATATCGACTGAAATCAAAATTGGCCAAAACTGACTTTTGGAACTCTTTGAAATAGGTAGTCCATCAATGTTTATGTCTATTGGTAGTACAATATTTTTTTTTTTATATATGTAATTTTGAAACTCAACATTGTTTTCGAATAGTTTGCAGATAGTATATTGTATACCGATGTGGCAATATAATCCAGGCGGTACACTTAATATTTCATAGGAGTATGATTTTGGTGTTTTTAGAAGACTACGGGAACCTGTAGGAAAGTTTGAATATGGAACTCGTAGAATTTGCAACATATCATTAATAGCTTGTTGGCTTAACAAATGCCGGTATTTGAGAGTCCATTGTGTTATGTTTTCGAGAACAAATTCCCAGACAGCCAAACTTGCCAAAAGCACGCATTGCTAATTTATACTACATTATTATAATGGCAAAAATCGAGCAACAGTCGAACACGGTTTACCATTTCAGTATAGCGCTAACAGAAATATAGCAAAAATAGAGCAGACCTGCGTCATAATACACTAGCAAAAATTCTGTAAAAATTCATCAAACATTACCGAAATAAAGAAAGCAGAATTCGAGCATTACATGCTGGCAAAATAAATTAACAAAAAATAGATGAAAACTTGATATAAAACATGCCTACATGTTATAAATCAGCAAAATGTTGTTAAAAATCTGGCACACTTATTGTCATATTATGACAGCAAAAAGGCGGTAAAAACACTGCACGATCTGACATAATTAAGTACTGACAGCAAAAACGCAGCAAAAATCGAGCACAGCCTGCCGTGACGACAGGCTGTCAGTACTTGATTATGTCAGATCGTGTTGTATTTTTACCGCGTTTTCGCTGTCACGATGTAATAGCAAATAATGATTGATTTTTGTTGTTTATTTCTATCGTTGTGTTAAGTTGGCAGGATAAGCTGTTAGAAACTAAGCTTAATGAGGAAGCAGCAGCTTGATATCTGTCTGCTGCACGTCATGATCAAGTTTGCTGGCATACTGCCGGCATACTGCTAGCATTTTGCTATCTGGGTTCTTCCATTGTGGAAGGTATTTCTTTGTTGATATTATGCAATTGAAAAGATGAGATATTGTTTTGAACGAGCGTCATTTCGTCTATAGATCTGGCAGGTGATGCATTATCATTTATATTTTCCAAAAATTCTGCAATAGGGTTAGGATCGATCGGCGTAGGTTGTTCAATATTATTCGTCTTATTTAGGTTAAGATTTTTTGTTCTATCCGCGGAGTCTTGAAATTCCGTTTTGTTTCGCGATTTATCCTCTTTATTTCGCACTTTTTTCACTGATAAACTATCGAACAACTCTTTTCTGACTATTCGACAAATATGCCTTTTTGACAAAAAAACATTTTTTCCCCATTTTTTAAGCACTATCTCGCGCGCATTTCCACCCACGCCCGTCACGCATCGTGTAGTTTTCGAAGTTGTTTTTATAGGTTATGTATGTGCGTATATCATGTGTAAGAATTACAGGTTATTATACTTACATCTCGTTCTCGTGTTTGTTGAGAGGTTGTCATTTGATCACTGCCATTTTGGGCCATAACCGCAGTTATTTTTATATCACCAATAAATAATTAATGTATCAATAATGCACTGGCTGGATCTACACTTCAGTAATGGCTCCTGCAGACAGAACGTCGTATCGGCGAGACGTTGATTGGCTATCGAACGAAATTCCGCCGCGCGGGAAGCGTTTCTGCGTTCTGTCTGCAGGAGCCATAAGACAAGATAAAAACAAAGAAATAAAAACAAAGAAACCACTGGCTTGTGTTCCTTACACGCATGCACGAATGTCACGTTTGAAACGTTAATGCGGCGTATTTAAATATATCAACATTCACAGTTCAAACAAAACGATTTGAAAACGTCTGAATAAGAATATTTTTGAAACCGTACGAGTGTGGCAGTAGCATTAACGTCACTAACAAACGTTCTACACAAAAAGTTCCTTGAACGTTACGTTAGGTTTCATTTGCGACGTTGCGAATCACTGATTTTAAGGTTAAAAATAAACGTTTTTAACGCGTCTCACCAACTAACACATATTAACCGTTAAATAGCAATGTTTATTCAACGATCTAAAACGTACACATAAAAAACGTTTTAAATTTGCTAAAGAATAGAAAAAATGCGACGTTCCAAAATTGTTTCATGTTTAGCGGGAAGTATTATATTTTATGCAATTCTGTGCGCAAAGTGTGCCTTCGCGCACTAATTTTAACGTCGAGAAGTTCATTTTACGGGGTTGGTATGCGCGAAGTAGTTAGTCGTGCGCGAAGGCACCTCGCTCACCGAACCGCATAAAATATCGTAAGCAATTCGTGCGCGACGTTACCGCGCCTGCGGCGACTCGTGCGCAGCGTTCGCCGCTAGTGCGGAAAGTTATCTTCGCGCACTTATTGCATAATATACTAGTATTCTTTTTCTTTAAAAATTCATATTATAATTTTTATGTTATAATCGCTTTCTTGTTTACTTACGAATTGACGACTCTCATTGTCCTTCACCTCGTTTTAATTATTATTTTCATATAAAGAGTCCTTCATCTTTAATTTTATTTGTTTTTTAGATATTAATATATAATATAGAGAAGGGAATAAGAAATATTTTAAATCTATTTTTAGATGTTTTAAACATTTCAAGCTAATATATAATTGTCAATGAAATAAAAAGGCAATTAAGAGTCAATATTATATGTGTGAACTAATAAAACATTTAATATATTATAAATTAAAATAAAATAACAATAAACTAAAACATGCGTTATACACAATTTTCTTTTTTCAAATATATAAAACGTCATTTTGGGAATAACGCAGTTTATAATATGAAACTTTGGATCAAAGTAAGAAAATCTATTATTAGAAATAATTTACAAATAAGATTTCTAAAATTTTGTCTTAAGAATAAGATTTATCCAAAACATCTAAACAAATTGATCAATTGTAATATTAATTTTTATCACCACATGTCACAACACAAATACACACGTCACAAAGAATCATTTATTTACAAAATAATACATATGGAGCTTAACGATGCTCATAGAAAAAACTTTGCTTGCAGAAAGCATCTCTTCCATCTCTCTAGTAGTCTCGCACATTGGTTACCGATAAGGATTTGTGATAATTTTTTATTCACTCAAGAGAGAGCCTGTTACTGGTTTTTTGTTGGAGAAAGAAAGAGAATGGACGACAAAGCAAACTGGCTTCTAGATAAACAAAAGAAACAGGAGAACTCGAATATCAAACCAATATTAATTCCATCTTGTAAGTCAGATATACACACAGCCAAAGATAATGTAAAACACACATTAACTATATGTCCAGATTCTTTTTCTTTGTTCAGCAATGAGGTCGGGCCTTCGTTCTCTTCACATCGTGATAAGTGGTTTGTAAATCTATCCTCGGTTGATATTCCGACAGAAGTACAATGTTTTTTACAACTTGGTGAAAATTTTGCATTAAAGATAATGTAAAACACACATTAACTATATGTCCAGATTCTTTTTCTTTGTTCAGCAATGAGGTCGGGCCTTCGTTCTCTTCACATCGTGATAAGTGGTTTGTAAATCTATCTTCGGTTGATATTCCGACAGAAGTACAATGTTTTTTACAACTTGGTGAAAATTTCGCACTGCCAATCAATAATAAAAAAGATATCATTTTTGATTGTATTAAAAATATTGAAAATAGCATACGCAAATTACCAATAAACAAAAAGATGGATATAACAAATCACTCATTACCGATATTAAATAATATTGTATCGACACCAATAAAAGGTAATTATGCACTATAGGGGAGCCAGCTCCGATGACCTTGACCTTGACATATGTTGTCAAGGTCATGATTCTGAGCAACTTTGCCTTAATAACTAGGTGGCGGACTCTTATAGTTTTTGAGATATTAAGCGTTGAAATTATTTTTAACAGTAATGAAACCTACTGGGTAAATGTTTCGCTTTACACAGTTGTAACGATGCACCTCGGACTGCATCGTTCCCGGTAGCTACTTTTTTGTATATTGTAATTCGTATTGTATATAGTATTATTCATCCGTTGCATTGTAGCAAAGTTTCGTCGACAGTAGCTATCGCCGCTCCGACCGAACGCGTCCGAAGATCGTCGAACGATCTGCGCTTCGCGCTATCCGCCGCTCCGACCGAACGCGACCGAACATCGCCGATCGACAATCCCCTCCGCAGGAATTGCCAACCGCCAGGCAATAACGGAAAAGACCGTAATTAAACGAGCGGGAGCAATAATTAGTATATAACGCGTAATTATTGCTCCGGGAGCTCTCTTCTATCCGAACCGCCGCTCCAGTACGAATCCTGCTCCGATCCTAGCTCCGGTGATCCGACGCGAAAAGGGGGTCAAGTGTTCTTGGTCTCCGTCAAGCGTTCTTTTCATCCACGGTTACAATTTACGTTAGAAATCGGAACAAATTCTTTAAATTTTCTTGACATTTCGATCATTATCAAGGACAACAACTTATTTTTCGATTGGTACCAAAAACCCACTTTTTCGGGTAGATTTCTTAATTTTTATTTAAACCATCCATTATCACAAAAGAAAAGTAGAAGAAGAACTTTATTACCTTCAAGCATACAAAGCCTAAGAAGGGGGCTTGGTTTACAATTTATCAACTTATCCTCACATCCATCCATACCCTACTCTCGTGCATACATTACAATTTTCTCTCTTACCTATTTTCTACTTAATTTATCCATTTCACCTAACAAATTGCACAAAATTACCTCTCTAATCATACTTATATATCTAACTCGTTACCTCTCTTTACAAATTCTATCCTATTCTATTCCTTATTCAATTTTATTCTATTCCTCGTAGCTACCCTTTCGCTTTTAAAATCCGTACATGAAGTCTATATTCATACCTGTCTATATTCTAATCCTATTCATTCCGGCTCACTCTATCAATCAACTTATCTATGTATACCTTTTACTCACGCTTACTTTATAAATTTACTTCGCTTAACTACTTGCACAGAATTTCCTTTCTAACCATTCCTGTATATTCCAATCTCATTTACTTTGTCTTACATATCTATCCTTTTCAATTCTTGTTCCCTTCCTCGCAGCATTTCTACCTCTTTAAAATCTGTAACTCAAATCTATATTCATACCTATAACTAAAACCAAATCTACCTTTTATTCTAATTTCTCGCCTAACCTCCATTCATCTATTTGCATTATACTTTTCTCTATTACCTATTATCTTCTTAATTCATCATTTCAGACAATCAACTCACACATACTCCTACGCCTCGCTCGATCAATCAATCAACTTATCTAAACAAACCTTTTACACATTCTATTCCTCGCAACTCTTCTTCCTCTTTTAAATCCGTAACAAAAAATCTATATTCATACCTATACATTATCCTACATCTCACTCTATCAATCAACTTATCTATATATACCTTTTACTCACGCTTTCTTTATAAATTTACTTCGCCTAACAACTTACACAGAATTTCCTTTCTATTCATTCTTATATATTCCTGGCTCATTACCTTGCCTCACATTTCTTTCCTTTTCAATTCTTGTTCCATATTCCTCGCAGCTTTTTCCTCTTTTAAATCTGTAACTCATACCTATTATCTTCTTAATTTATCATTTCAAACAATCAACTCACTCCTAATCCTACTCCTCGCTCAATCAATCGACTAATCTAAACATACCTTTTACTCATTCTATTCCTCGCAACTTTTCTATTCTCTTTAAAATCCGTAACAAAAACTATATTCATACCTATATCTAAAACTAAATCTGCATTTCATATAATTCTGCCTTAAGCATTTTCTTATCCAGAAAGTCCTCGTGTATCCTTGTCTTCATCACGTCTTCATCTCCATTCTTTGTTCTTTATCCTCTTTGTACGAACCTTTTTACAATGTCCCATAACCTGCCTCTTATTTACTTGTACCTCTCCATCGTCTTCTGTTTTCCTGCCTCATGCATTTTCTTCTCCAGAAATTCTTCATGTTTCCTTACCTCCGTCTCGTCTTCCTCGCCTTTTCTTATTCTTAATTCTCAATTATCCAAACCTTTTTAAGAATGTCTCATAACTTGCCTCTTATTTCTTATACCTCTCCACCGCCTTACATCACGAAACGGCCTGTGAACATTCGTAACTTCTATTACCGTTTTCCTTTTTTTCTTTCGCCGAAAACCTTATTACAACGTTATTTTCCTGCGTTGCCGCCTCCTTATCTGAATCTCGTTTTCTGGCCCAATCCTTATAAATACACCTCCTTTTCCTCTAACTATTCTCTTCTTACCTCTGTCTTATACACAGGAGATATACTTTTACGATATAATCGTGATACTCTTATGCGATTCTTTTCATATTCCGAGGATCATATTTTCTTCCTCCTTTATAATCATATCACTATTATTCCATTCTTGATCCTTCCCTGCACATTCTTGCCTTAAATTTTGATATTGCCCGTACATTTTCTTTTCCTCTTCTCCTGGCTCATCCTCTTCACCTCTTTCGTTCCTATCGAAGTGATATCCGC